CTGAGGTTGAGAAACGCACAACTGCTAGTTGCTTCTGTAATGTCTCAGGTAATTCTGTCCACTGGGGCCATTACTCCCAAGTCCTTCAAGTGTCTGCCACTGCTCCCAGAAACCAAATTGCCACACCTGCTTTCCAGACAACTCCCTACAGCCATTATGGACACCGGCTGGCGTGTTAGAGCTGACAGAGACAATAATTCCAGTGTACTAGCCCCCGGGCCCATATTAAGTGCACCAGACCCTTAATTGTTATTGCTCTGTGGGTCCCATGAAGTTAAACATTGCAGTACTGCTTTTCCTTTTAGGAAATCAGACCAGACTTCTCCCAGAACAGGGCATGAGAGACTTGTGCAGGGAGTCTGCTGGGACCTTCCTATTCTACAAGGTGCAGGAGGACAAATCCTGAGACCCTGGCCAGGATCTTTGCCTTCGTTGACACTATCAAGATGAGAATCACTCATCATTTTCGGTGAGCCAGGCAGCCCAAAGCTAAGGACTCAGAAGCACACAGCATCCCCGGGAGCTGACTCTCACTTCTCTCTACACCTTTAGTCCTGCTGTGACCCTGTCTTAGTTCTATTTTGCCTCATCCAACCTGCTGTACATTACTTTTGCTCCCCACTTCCCAGACTGAAAAGCAAAGGCAACTGGACACAGCGAGCTTCCTGATGGGATGTAACGTGAAGTGCAGAGACCTCAGATGAAACAGGCAGATCACAGCAGTACGGAGAAGGCAGAAGTACACAGTGTTCGTGCCAAATATAGTTAACCTGAATCTAAATTAGCCTCTGCATCTACCTGCCAGGTGACAGGAAATACTGGAGGAACAAGTTAAACAGGATTACAAAGCAACAGTCATACCGATCCAGTGCTTTAGATTATTTCCCAAAACAAAAAACTTCCAAAAGGGATCTTCTAGATTAAAAGAGGTTTAAGATAAGTAACAACCAAATGCTATGTGTGCCGGTTCTTTAGAGGATCCTTATTTGAATAAGCCAGTTATAAAAGACATTTGGGGGATAATGGAGGAAATCTGAATGTGGACTGGCATTAAATGTTCTTGAGAAATGACTGTTACATTTTTTAAGGTATAATAATGAAATTATTAATATGTATGAGAACATCTTTACTGCTTAGAGGTGACTAAAGTGTGATGATGTGTGTAATTTATTTTAAAATGGTTCAACACCCTCCCCTCCATAAACATAGCGATAAAGCAAATATGGCAAAGCCTAGCAGTTATTGAACCAAATGTAGGTGGTTGACACTTGTTTATTGTATTATCCTTTCTACTCTTCTGCTCTTTCGAATAATGTGAAGTGAAAGAAAAGACTACTGAAAAATACCCGACTGTACAGATGAGTTCTGGCTCTCCCTTACACTGATTTCCAAACTCCTGCATTCCCTAGGCAATCATTGTCAGACGCACATCTCCGATTCTGGAGCAGCTTGAGTCAACAGCAACCTTGTAAAGGGTTTTAAAGATGTAGAAAGGGGAAAACGAACACAGACTGCCACTTCCAAATCAATTGTAATCTGTTTAAACCCTCTAATGTGCACAAATACAGTAGAATGACACGTCTGCTCAACAAGGAGTTCTCTAATGCAGTGTGAGCAGGAGGACAGCGGGAATTATATTATCAGTGGTAGTGTACTATTTAAACAGCAGTACCTGCTGAAGCCTTCTCAGTGGTTTTCCAGTACTGTTTCCTCTGCTTGGAGTGCCCTTCCTGCTTCTTACAGTGAACAATTGTTTTTTTCTTTCTCCCTCCCTCCCTCCCTTCCTCCCTCCCTCTCTCCCTCCCTCCGTCTCTCCTTCCTTTTTTTTTTTTTTTTTTTTTTTTTTTTTTTTTTTTTTTTTTTTTTTTTAGAGAGCTCAGCATCTTATCTAAGTATAGGAAACTCCTTTTCTATGTATAGGAAAATCATCAAAATTATGAATCTTTGCCTTCCTCTAGTGTAAAAGCTCAAAGTGCCAGTGTGGGGAATTAAAGACAGCTGCAGAAATTTTTTTTTTTTTTTTTTTTTTTTGCAACTCTTTGCATTTGAGATGGGGTTTGTCTTGCTCTTCTTTGAGTGCATGCTAGCCAGTGGCCTGATCTGCCCAATAGAATGGTGCTGTGTACCTTTTCAGGCTGAGCATTAAGAGTTCTGGAGCTTCTGCCTTCGCTGCTTAAAACGCTCCCTCTTGGAAGAGAGACATCATGTGAAAGGCACAGCTTCCCTGAGGGCACCACACTGAGGGAAGCCCAGTGGATATGATGAGGACCTAGGGAGGAAAGCCGGCCTGCTCCAGTTTCATCTCTTTGTCAGTCTCATTCTTTCCTCAGCCAAGTAATGCTCCACCAGTCAACACTGGCTGATTAAGTAGAAAAGGAATTTTCTTGAAATGATACTAAGTAGCTCACAGAAGAATATTAGGTAGCTGACTGAGCTCCCAGCTCACAGCCAGCCATATGAGTGAGCATTCAGATGATTTTAGACTCAGCAGATGCCACTTGGAGCAGGACTGTCCAGTTGAGTCCAGTCAACCTATAGAAGCTGGAGATATAATAATGGTTGTTGATGATAAGCCACTCAGTTTTAGAGGTGGTAGTTATCCCACAAAGAAAGCTAGGCAGATACTTTCCCAGCTTCTTTTTTTGTTTGTTTGTTTGAATTTCTTTATTGATTAAGGTATCACATATTTGTTCTTATCCCCCCATTCCCATCCCAAACCCCTCCCCACCCCTTTGTTGTCCGTGACCACTGGTTAGGCTCATATGGATGCACACAGTCCTTTGATTGATCTCTCCCTTTATCCCCACTCTCTCATACCCCTGAGGTCCGATAGTCTGATCCATGCCTCCTTGTCTCTGGGTCTGTTCTTGTTCATCTTTCCCTGCTTCTTTTGCAGCTAGGTGTAGCATTTGACCTAGGTCTTGCTAAGCAGATGCCTCTCCCAAGACTTTGAATTGGGAACCAATGACACATACAATAGAAACAAGAACAACAGTGAACTTTCCCAATAGTGATGGTAGCCATTGCAGCGAGACTAAACTGAGGCAGTAGGAACTAGTTGCTGTTTAATGTTCAGGGCCAGTGGCACTGACTATGCCATGGCACGATTATCTCTGGCATGATTTTGGGAGATGTTTCTGTCTGTGTGGACAATGAACCTGGTTCGTGAGTCATCCAGGAAATTCTGAGCTACCTAATATATTTTTAATAAATTTCTTTTCTAGTTAATTGAAAGAATGCCAGTTTCTGATGCTTATAATTAAGAACTCTGATATATACATACTCCTCAAACTAGCTGGCTTTTTTTTTTTTTTTTTTCCTTAAGATAAAATTCAAAGCTTAAGAAAAATTCCTCCTGGACACCTTCACAGACATCTTTTCAGTATTCTATCCCTTTCCTCCATTTTTTTTTCTCTTCTTTTAAGCCCTTGACGTGCCTTGTGTGTATGTATAATAATGCTCTTATCATATCTATTATAGTTTTCAATTTCATAAACTATCTCTAATGCCTAGTATAGTGTTCATCTAACATTTGTTGGATGAATAATTGAATAAATGAAATTTAGTATATTTATAACAGTTCTGGACACAAATGGACATCATCTCAAAAACATTTTTTTTTTTTTACCATTCATAGAATTGTCAAAATAGAGCAAATTTTAGAGTATTGCTTTTATAAAATACTACTGTGAATTCTTTGGCTATTATTGATAATCATCTTAATGGATTCCTTCTCATCCTAGTAACTGTTCCCCTTTTATGCACTGCCAGAGAAATTTCCATTTTTATTCCCATGATTACTTTTATTCTTTTTTTATGTAAAAATGTTGAGAGTGTAGGTTTAAAAATCCATTTACTGACATTCCCTAGAGTATTTAAATATTTGAAAGGAGGAGTTGAATAAGAAAAATCATTTTAGAAGAAGAGAGATGATAGATACATAGCATAGAGCTTCTAGTCTCATGTTTCATGAAATCATGGCAAACACATTTGAGTTAAAGGTGAGAACAACTACTTCTATGGTCAAAATCCAGCTATGATGAAGGATTCTCCCATGGCACCAGGGTCCCCAGGCGTGGGCAGTGGCGACTGTGTCATGCAAAGTTCCACAGGTGAGAGTGAAGTGCACCAAGGATTAAGACCTGTTAAGACAAGGGACCATTTGTTTTCTTTTGGCTATTAGCTTATTAAGACCTACCAACACTAACACATTGTGGACCAGTAAATTTATTGCTAGCTTTACCTAGTGGCCATATAAGTTTTTATTGAACGAGTACACAATATTTTACATAAATGTTAAGGGCACGCTTTAAAATTAAATACCCGTTGCATTTTGAAGTTATTTATTACTTGTTCTTACAATCTAATATCTTTTTAAAGTATGATACTTTCTAAAGCACTGTGCAATATGAAGTTGAATGAAACAAAGCTGGCAAATTCTCGTGATCCATCCGCAATGTTTTAAGTGGTGTATCAAGACTCGATCTCAGATGCTGAGGAGTTATACAGATGAATAAGATATTCCCTGTCCTCCAGGAGTTTGCAAACTGGTATCAGGTCCATACAAAGATTTTGCATGTTTTATGTACTTTTCTATATGTTTTATAATCTCATAAGACAATTGCTAAAAAAAAAAAAAAAATAACAGTCTCTCCCTCAAGGATCCATGTGAGGTCTAGATGAGATGCTGCAAATAAAGTATTAAATACAGGGCTTAGGACAGAGGTCTTCAAACTTCTCTCATTATGAGAGTCACCTGGTGGAGTTGTTAAAACACAGATTCCCGGATCCCAACTATAAGAAGTGCTATCAGGAATCTATGTTTTAACACCTCCACCAGGTGATTCTCATAATGAGAGAAGTTTGAAGACCCCTGGCTTAGGACATAAGAAGCTCCAGCAGATGTCAGCTGTGACTGATGTTGTGGTGATTCCATGGGTGTTGTATACCTAACAATTGAGAAGACAGAACCAATCTCTTCCCGCCATATCAACAGCATGGAGTTTAAGATGGACAACCGATGCCAAGAAGAGGATGGCATACCTTGAATACTGTGGCTCATCTCAGGACTCCTGAGCATGGGTGAAGTGGATCAGTGCTCTAGGTCAGCGTTTTTCAACCGCTGTTCCGCGGCACACTAGTGTGCCGCGAGATGTTGCCTGGTGTGCCGTAGGTGCAGACAAGACAAGAATTTTATAATTTTTCACTATTTTGTTTACTTAATATTTCATAATAAAGTAATTATAAAATACTTTCGTTGTGTTTATTTGATTCCTATTCAAGAGAATTACTTTATATATAGTCAATTTAGGCACAGAGTTAAATTTTTTAACATTTTCTAATGGTGGTGTGCCTCGTGATTTTTTTCATGAAACAAGTGTGCCTTTGCCCAAAAAAGGTTGAAAAACACTGCTCTAGGTTTCCCAAGGTTCTTCCTTCATTGTTGTTCCCAAAGCAGTTTCTGGAGTGAGGCGAAGCAGGGTTGAATCTTGGGTTATACTTAGGTATAAAAGAGAAACTATAAAATCTGTGCACTAAAAAACTGGGGTTTTTGGTTCCCAGCCCTTGGGAGCTTTCATGAGCTCGCCATGGTGCTTTTATCCTTCCACAAGTATAATACACACTAAAGGCCCAATGCATGAAGATTCATGCAAGAATGGGCCTTCCTTCCCCTGGCTGCTGGCATTGCCTTTGCTCCAGCCTGGAGCTGCCTTTTCACCTTCCCACGCTGCCCAAAGGCCCTGAGTGGCCATGGCAACAATGCAAGCATCCTGCCCCTTGCCGCATCGGTGCCGCTCGATGCAAATTAACCCATCATCTTTGTTGTGTTAATTTTCATACTTACTCCTGATTGGCTGGTGGGTGTCATGAAGGTACAGTCAATTTGCATCTTTCTCTTTTATTAGTGTAGATATACTCAATTGTTTACTGAATGAGTGAGCACATAAGTCTTCAATACATCACCTGTGTTAAGTCTGTTACCTTCCACAAAATATGTCCATCCCGACCAATTGACGTACCAAGGCGCCTGCTAAGAGAATGCAAGTTAATCCTCTCTGTAGCACTCAGCTTGGAGAAGTGTGACTAAAGCTCACTCTTGCCAGCTCCATCGCAGATCAGTCATCTAGATCTGCAGTCATGCAGCCACTTAGGACCACCATTCTCTGGTGGGGCGTGTCTCAAGACTCCCTTTGTTGCCAAAACTGGTTTGGCTCAGCCGTAGAGCCCTGGACTGAAAGGTCCCAGGTTCGATTCCAGTCCAGGGCATGTACATTGGTTGCGGGCACATCCCTGGTAGGGGATGTGCAAGAGGCAGCTGGTCAATGTTTCTATCTCATCAACGTTTCTGGCTCTCTATCTCTCTCCCTTCCTCTCTGTAAAAAATCAATAAAATATATTAAAAAAAAAAAAAAAAGACTCCCTTTGTTGACCACGGTCTTTGAGCCACTTCTGGGTATGCTGGGTACCTGGCCATCTGTTTCAAATTCTATCTTGAAGCTGTTTCCAGAGTGACCTATCTGTATTACAAGTATAATTGTGTCATTTATTATCCAAAACATTTCACTTGTTTCTCCCAGCCTGCCTGAATGATAAAAGCCAGAACTATTTTGCTTAGTAAATAAGATCTTTCGTAATCTGTTTTCAGCTTCTTGTTTTGCCACTTCTTTATATGCACTCAGTTACTTGGAGCTCCCTAAACAGTTTGCAAGCACACCTGCATTTTCCCCACTTGATTCCCTCTGCCTAGAACATCTTGCCCTTCTCTAACTGACTAATGACTCTGAGACCTTTAAGACTTGCTTAGACATCAACTTCTTTGAAAGAAGATGTTCTGACTCACCCATCTGAAAATGCTTTTTTTCTATGCCCCACAGCACACACTAGGTGACACATATTACATGGCACAGTAATAGTGAAGATCCTTAAGAACAAAGTAAGTAGGATTAGGGAATATGAGTTATTGAGATTAATACAATCAAAATTAACCATATCTGCTGGTAAGGTCCAGGGAACGTTTAGTTTATACCAGTGCTGCTCACACTTTAATGTCACCCGAGTTCTTGTTAAAATACAGAATCTCACTCAGTAGGTTTGGCGTGGGACCTAAGATTCTGCCTTTCTAACAAGTAGCCAGGTGATGCCAGTAGTGCTTGTCTGAGGTGCACACTTTGAGTATGAAGAGGTTTCAACCATTTGTAAAGGGCACTCTCTTAGCTGCTGGGAATTCTAAGAAATCTAACACACTGTCACTCCTGTTAGGGAGATAGAATATATACATAAAAAGACAAACAAACATCAGATAATACCATAAAATTCTACTTTTTTCAAGGTGTAAAGCGTTATTATCATTGACTTACCGGTAGTATTATCTGTTATCTTTCTATAGGTTAGGTTAACATATTTTAAGCATCAAACGATACATATCCAGAGACATTTGAGACAAAACATAGCCATAGAATGATGGATATATTTTATAATTATTTTTATTTTAACAAGTAAATTATTCATTTAAATGTTTCAGTAATGAGTTCATTATGAAAACAGAAAATATATATGCCATTAACTCCCATGAACCATTCCAGCATCTATGCCCAAGGAATAAGGATCAGACTACCCATTGCAGTTCTGTTTACAACAGCAGGAGAGTGAAGGCCTGCACCCTCTCCAATTTGGGACCCATCATGGTATGCCCAACTGCCGGTTTAGGCCTAATCCCTGAGGAGTCGGACATCCCTCTTACAATCCGGAACTGCTGGCTCCTAACTGCTCATCTGCCTACCTGCCTGATCACCCCTTAACTGCTCTTCCCTGCCGGCCTGATTGCTCCTAATTGCTCTCCCTTGCCTGCCTGATCGCCCCTAACTGCCTCTACCTCAGCCCCTGCTCCTGTGGCTTTGTTTGGAAGGATGTCCGGAAGAATATCTGGAAGATGTCTGGTCTAATTAGCATATTACCCTTTTATTAGACTAGATAGCCCACATTCTATGTTATGTTTAAATTTACATGGACAATTTCATGCTACATCTATTCGTTAGCAACTTGCTTTTTCAATCATGTTAAGTGGGAATAGCCACATTTGATTTACCCATCCTCCTACAGGAGAGTGCTGTGTTTTAAATGCCTTGCTCTTTTCTGATAAGGAAGCTGAAATGATGGCCCAATGAACTAAACAACAGGCCATTGTGAGCTGATGGCTGGGGTAGTAATGAAGGTCTCAAATGAGAAAGAATTTGTCTGTGCATTGATATCCATCAAGGTACAGATTTTTTCATTAATCACCAAGAGATAAAACCATTGTTGTCAAAAGGCTTTTCTACAGAGCCTTTTCCGTATCAAATGTAAACCTGTTCCATTTATACGGGCATAAAGACTCACGATAAAGGCTTAGGCAGTCCTGGAAGATAATGAGACAATTGTGGGAGATGATGTTGGTTCACAAACTGCCCATTACTAATCACATGGAGACATGTACATGAACTTCCATTAAATTCAAAGCATTGTGTCTTCTTTCTCACTTTCCTCTGAGTTTTTTTAAGACCACACAGCGAGATTTCTGGTGTTTGAGGCAGCAAACACCAACTCTGTTCTCTTCATTCTGCAGTGGTTTAAAAACAAACAAACAAACAAACAAACACACAAATGTTCTTCTGACAATTTATAAACATAAAACTCCCTGAGGAGCTTTGTTTTACCAGGGCATGAAAACAAACATATATATAATGAGTTAAGGAACTGGCTCTAGTGAGTGGCTGTCACACCACAGTCCTACATGACTTGAAGAATAGCTAGCAGGACGTCCCCCAAGTAGTACCTCTCCTTATGGCGCCTCTCTTGTTTTTTCCTTTCTCCTGCCCATCCTTCTCCTAGACCTGTCTCCTCCCAACCTCTCTTAGCTGGAACGGGCTCTGATTTGCCACCTCTGGATTCACTGTGTGTACATATTCAACCCAACCCAACAAGGTGAGCCTTGGGCTTTAGCCAAACAGGCCACCTGTTGTTCTTCAAACATACCTTTGGGGTCTTAAGACATCTATCATTGTTTTATTTTGTTTATCTTATGAAGATGAACCCATCTGACTCCAGACATAGTTTTGGGCAAATTACTTTTTAAAAATATTCAACAATATGGACATTTTCACCTATTAATTCACATAATGCTTTCCCCTTCTTTTTTATGGCTGCATAGTACTCCATAATGTGCCCAAAATAATTTTCAAAAACCAATTCCCATGTTGATTAACCTTAAGGCATCTCTCTTGTGCTTTGCTGTGATTTCTGGATGGACTTGTCTGAAGAGTGGGGTAGGCAGAGGAAGGAAAGAAGAGAACTATGTTTGGAGCATGTCAAAGGGCTGCCAGCATGGTTTTGGATGTGATGATAACTCCAGGTCCTTCAGTCACCTCTTATTTGGGAAGATGGTCATTTTCTACACAGTGTGTTTTGCAAACAGCAAAGTAACTCTAATAGTTATAGCCCTATGTCATATGATATGATCATTATATATACTAACCTACACATCTGACTGCAATCCAGGATGCAACTGGATGCTTTGGAAATGGTGTGAGCGTGAAGGAGGGACGAAGTGGAGAAGGCAGCAGAAGAGACGGGATAAGGCCTGGACTGGTGAGCAGCCCTTGTTCCTTCCACCATCCCACTTCTTTTTAGGCAGCCAGTTAGAGAGACCTAACACTAGCTCATCCCCCCCCCCCCTACTGTATTAATAACTAGCTCTTCTCTGCCTTCATTTGGGAAGGCAGGCTAAGACCACTTGATGAAAGGTCTTTAATTCTTCACCAAGGGGTCTACAGCAGAAAGGAGGCTGTAAGTGGACTGTGCTTGACTTGAGACTTCAGATGTCAGCACAAAAGTTTGCTTTGCAATTACTCAAGTGCTCTTAGGAGATAAACAGCACAATTAGAGAACAGCCAACCTTGGGAAAGAACATAATATATCACCTGTCTGGTTGTGCTTCAACTCGATAGTTACCTTTATCACCCAGGAGTGGCCTCATTCCTTTAAATCAACTCCATATTTTTTGTACACATTAACTGTTCATAACTATGTCCCCACAGCAATCCCCTCCTCATAGCCTTGCTAGGTCTCTCTCTCTCTCCTCTCTCTTCTCTTCTCTTCTCTTCTCTTCTCTTCTCTTCTCTTCTCTTCTCTTCTCTTCTCTTCTCTTCTCTTCTCTTCTCTTCTCTTCTCTTCTCTCTCTCTCTCTCTCTCTCTCTCTCTCTCTCTCTCATCATTGGTGGGTTCATCATGCACACTTGCAGCATCAAGCATACCTTCTAGAGATAAATACAATGAATCCCTAAGCCTGACTTTTTCTAAAGCATTTAACCTTATCATTACTTTTTTCTTCTTCATGGAATTGCTCCTACATTCATCACTTATTTGGGAAGATGGACATTTCCTACACAGCACATTTTACAAAAAGCAAAGTAACTAATAATCATAGCCATATGTAATATGATATCATTTGTGCATACTAAATTACATACCTGACTGCAATCTTACCAGAATAGCAAAATGCTAGAAATTCTCAATTTTGCGTAGCGTATTTGCATGTCTGAACTTGATTCAGACTCCATGCAGGGCTGACTGCACAGGGAGGCTTCCGTTCCCTTTCCTCCTGATGTTGCTCACCTTCTGGCCAAAGTGTGGCTGTGCTTCCCAGACCTCCTCCAACCTCCACTCCTTGGGTTCCCCTTTGGACAATGTGCCACAGGGCTCCTATTTGACCTGGGCTTCCAAGGTTGAGTTCCTCAGTCTTCATTCCCAGGACCAAGTGAGGGCAAGTTTCCCGCAAGCTGCCTTTTGCGCAGAGCTCCAGCCCATGGGAGAAGCCCTTCAGGGACTTGAAGAAGATGCCGTCAACATTTGGTCCCTTGCTTCTGGCATCAGTCTCTCACATCACTCCCCCTGCCAACCCTTTCCTACCCCTCTCTGGACAGCTGTCTCCCTTCCTGTCAGGGCTTTCAGCCTGCATTTCCACAGGAAATGCTTTTCTCTGTCTCTCCACAAAGCCCAGGGGGAGAGGAACTGGCCTTTCATTCACAATTGGCCACAGTGTGGTAGGGGAGGCGGTGAGAGTGGGAGTAAATGTTCTCCAGAGTTGACATAAATGCAGCTTCCAATACAAACCAGATGCTGCTGTCCCTGGAATAGGTGGAAAGCTTATTTTGTT